AGAGAGAGAGAGAGAGAGAGAGAGAGAGAGAGAGAGAGATTTACATATGTTTGACATTTTTGCAAAATATGTCAACAGATTTTAATATTACTCTTAAATATTCTTATATTCTTGTATAAGAATTGTTTTTGTAATTACTCTCACATTAAAATAATCGATAAAAATCATCAAATTCACATTAACTGTATATTATTAAATCCGATATGTCTTAAAAATATTGTATATAAAGTATATTCTACTTTAGAGTATTAACAGTTATATACAGTTGTATAACTATAGCATTAATTAATAAAAAAAAATTGCAAAGATTTACTACAAATTTCTGTATTTAATAGCGAATTCATATGGCATTTGTGTCTTATGTTATAAATGTGATTAAATTATACGTCAACTAAAATGACAATTTTCTGTCACAAATAATTAGTAAACTAATGGCAAAAGCAATGCACAACTAATACATACCGTATTTTCGTGGACTAAAGTCGAGGGTCTTATCGAAAACGTACGGATCAATTGGTTGGACGTAATTCTCGCGTATATAGTCTAACAGTTTATCTACTAATTTGTTTGCAGTAATACTGCGATTGTTTGCATCGATTGTATAGTCAACACATTGTTGTTGGCTGTGTTGCGACTCTACACTACTAGTCCTATAGGGTTGTGCCGCTCGCCTGTGCTGTGGCGTTGACTTGCGATGATTTACAGTGGGATCCGTATCAGCGCTTCCCGACCCGACACCACCAGCGGTCGGCCGCACTGTCACTGAATGCATGAGCGATCGTATTCTGGTTGTAATCGACTCCATATCTCACACAACAGACAAACACACGTTTACTATAATATTACTGGCATTTTGTGTAATGAAAATATAATTACAAAATAATAATAAATGTTCACTTTTCATATGATGCACATATTTATGTTTGCATTCAATTCGTTGGAAAAACAAATTGAAAACACAATTCATAAACAAAATAATGATTATTATGTTGTATTTAATTGTCATAGAATAAAATATAAATATTTCATTTAATGTGTGTTAACAGAGTTGCAAAATAGTAAAGAATAAAAATTTGTGCAGAATATTAAAGATTATAATAACATTAGTGAATAAGAATCACATTAAATAAAGGATTAAACATCTTTTATAATTGCATACAATATTTTCTAAGCATTTGCACCAAAAGATTATATTCTGCTAAATCTTTCTAACAGAATATTCTGCACACAAAGAAAACCTATTCTCTAACTTTATAAGCATTGCAGTTCATGTGCAATATTTTGAACTTGATACTTGTATATTTGCAAACAACACACATCCACACTCNAAACAACACACATCCACACTCACACAGCATCTCAACACTGGTGTCATTTGTGTCACACCAAAGCAATTGATAGCACAGGGATGTGAATGTCTGTTCATCACAAATTCAATCCCATTTTTTCACAGCACATATACACAAATGTGCGCTCATATAATATAGTACACAATACTGTATTCAGTATTAAAAGCGTTATACCATTGAGAGATGGATTGAATAGGAAAAACACCAACAAAAAATATACAACTCTTGTTCAAGCAATTCATCTGCTCTTCAACAGAGCACTGGTAGCAGTCATTCGCTATTGAATGGATGGACAGACAGTTTGTGCTGAGAGAGAGAGA